AAGAACTCGAGATTAAAATAGCACATTTAATGTTTTATTTATAAAGCGAAACTGTAATTGTGATAAAAAATTTTTGGTACTAATAAATGTTAAGTATATAAAATAAAATATTAACTTTAAGATTTCGATTGTTACTATAAAGTTGAGACATGTTTACTTACATCATCTTCTGGTGGCTATTACGTAAAAGTTTTGCAACCCCTAGCCATTGACATAATTTACGGCATCCTTTGATCTCACCTGGCGACCACCCCCAATGATGCGGTATCCTTTTGTTACCAGGGTCTCGGGGGTACTACTCAGCTAACTAAATCTAAAGTTACACTAGGTATTCTGTCTATAGAATCACGTCTCGAGGAATAAAAAAACTAACACTGAACATTGATTTGTATCCATATCATTTTCGGCTTGTTTTAAATCTGCCGGACTAGTAATTATAAAAATTATACGATTTTAACATATTCTATTTGAAATTACATGATACTTTTTTGTATAAATACGACGAATATATGTCCTCAGGTATAGATAGATTCGAGAAGTTTTTCATCACATTTTAATTTTTTAAACCTTGTTTTTGTAATGTGATTTTTTCTAATTTCCACCTCAGTGAGAAGTTGTGTGTTTTATATTTCATGCCATATGACAATATGCCTATGGTAAAAGAAGCTGTGCCAACGTTGTGAAAGGTAGTATATTTACTACATTTAGTCGTCATGCAATCCACTTTATTTTTGTATAATTTTGTTTTCGTCACGAACAGACATGGAATTTTTCCGCAGATATTTTGTGGTGAACCATTAATATGCTAAAAGGACCAAGTGAGATCACGAATGTATCCCAGAAAACAAAATGGCGGAATAAGCAAAATCTGAGACGAGTAGAGTTACTAAATGCTCAGAAGTGAAAAACTGGGACCCCCCCCCTTATGGAGTGACATTATAACAGCTCTAAAACAGTTTAACTGACAACAACACACTTCTTACCATTTGGTAAACAATCTGATATTTATTGCAGCACGTTTCAAAACCATGGAGAAATGAGCTTTTATAAAAGCTTATATAATTAAAAATTATAATTAGTAAAATGCAAAAAATATTCAAAGGAAAAATGTCACTTCTTATCCCAGTTCCTGTGGTTGTCTATGTGACAGGTTAAGAAAACGTAGCAGAGGGAGAGAACACTGTACCTTAAGATCTGTCTTTATGAGGCAATTCTCCAAGAAATATTGAACCATGTATGATGACAAAATTGTACATATAAAACTCAAGTTGAGGTACAGAGAAACATAAAATAAAGCTAAAAATTGGAACGTCTGGTAACCCTAGATACGAGACACAGGAAGTAGGCTTAGCCGTTACCCATGATACATGCATAAGTTACAATTATAGCCTGTGTTTTCAATCATAAGCATTTCAAGTTGATTATCGTAATAAGCATCGTCAGACCATTATAATCAATAAAGCCTGTTTACTTAAAAATTGTTTATTTTGGTTCGTATAAATGTTTGTTGAATAACGGTGCTTGCATTTTTTCAGAAAACTTATATCAAGATAAGTAATACATAAATATGTATTATTAGATTTCCAAATGCATGATTTTTTGTGTTCTTGAGGTGTGGAAACATTACGGTCAGGAAAAATAAGGAGAATTATATTATGTAGGTCTAGTTTGTTTGTTTTTGAATTTCGACGTCCCTAATTTAGCAGCGTAAGACTAGAGGGAAGGCAGCTAGTCATCACCACCCACCGCCAACTCTTGGGCTACTCTTTTACCAACGAATAGTGGGATTGACCGTCACATTATAACGCCCCCACGGCTGAAAGAACGAGCATGTTTGGTGGGACGGGAATTCGAACCCGCGACCCTCAGATTGCGAGTCAAGCGCCCTAATCACCTGGCCATGCCGTCGTTGAGTGGAGTTTGAAGGTCAAAGTGTTTAGATAGTGGTCAAGATTGCCATTTTCATACATTTTAGCTTACGTTGTTTTTTTCAGGTGAAAAGTAGGTCGAAGATACACTGTAATGTTACAAAGTCTTTGCAGTGAAGTCGTAAAATTGGTCGGGGATTTCCCAATTTGAACATTTTTTTTTTTAGTTATCTTTGACACACTTAGGTGCATATTTTGTATGTTATGTCGTCGTAGGTCGTACACAATTACTAGAGATACCGTTCTCCCATACGAGCTTTTAAGAGAATACTCTCAAATAAATATTAACAAAAAATGGGTCAATTCCCCTCAATTATATGATACAACTAACCAATAGGTTAAACTTTGTCCGATCAGTTACTTTACGTAAGTAAATAACATTGCAAAATTGAGAGTTATTTAGTTCCACTACTTACCTTTACATAGGACGCTCTTGTTTCGAGTTGCTATACATTCCTATGAATGTAATTACACTCACAGCTAATAGCTTTCAGCAAAACAAATAGTTCACAAATTTACGGCGAATACATTACTTTTAGTGTTTAAGTGATGGAGGCAATACTTTCTAATACAACCTTATACACACTTAAAAACTTCCTTTTCAGCACTTCCACAATGTAGTCATTTACAATAAATACACAAGAGGGTGAGGTAACATACTGAAGCACGTAACGCACGTGCACGTTTATCCCAGTATAGAGGCTAGACGTTTGGTCAGGGTTTTCGTTGGAGAAGCTTTACTAAGCAATGCTCCGGTACAAAGACACAGAAGATTGCACTTTCCTTGCACCCAAAATTTTCTGACAAATGACACAGAAAATGTTTTCAAAGCAGTATACGCATTATTTTTCAGATCAATGGTGCCAAAGAAATACGGGGGCAATTTCTCGTAGGTTATTTATTTTTGGGAGGAGGTCTGATGGAAAGGACAAAAATGTATAAAAGGATGCTGACAGTTTTTGTTTTTTTTAGTTATACAACAGAGATACAAATAGTGGTTGTAGCTACAGAGAGGGTGTAGTCCTTCTGTATTTTTAAAACATTTAGTATACTGTTATACATTCATATAAAACAGATAAATACGAGGTTTGGTTTATAGCCTACATTACATTTAGATATATTCCAAATGTTGTTGGGTAATCTGTTCGTTATCATACTTTACGGGGACACACATCATGATTTGGGAAGGGGGTGACTCTTCACGGCTCAAGATGATTAATGTCTGCCACAGATTTGGCTTACAGCAAAAACTTTTTGTCACTGAAGGTTAAATGGTACATTTTTGTGATGACATCTTCTGAATGTGAGTGGTGGAAGGATACCTTACGTTTGTTGAAAAAAAAAACACAGATAAAATATATATCAGTTACTATATAATTGTCCTAACCTCAGTAATATCCTTCTTCAAATCAGTTTTCAGTTTGTTTGTTTTCAATCTAGAATCTAAGTGCCCCTAGTTAAAAGTAGCATTTTAGGTTTCTTTCAGTCAGTAAATTTCAATTTAATATATTTTAAATAGGTGTGTGTGTGTGTATATATATATATATATATATATATATACACACA